AGAGAAATTCACTTGTATAGTTGGATATTTTTCTCTTTCTTCCCTTCTGATTTTGTTGTTGTTATTTGTTTATTTTTATGGTACTGGGGATTGAACTCAGGGCCTCAGGCTTGCTAGGCAAGCACTCTACCACTTGAGCCACGCCCCTGAAGTCCTTTTGCTTTTAGTTCATTTTGTTTTTCAGGTAGAGTCTTGTGTTTTTGCCCAGATGAGCCTCAGAATGAGACACTCCTACTTCTGCCTCCTGAGTTGCTGAGATTACAGGTGTGTACCAGCATGCTAGGCCTCTTCCTTTCTGTTTTAATCCTAGATTACAATCTTTGGTTTATACCAATTCAGTTTTATTCTCTTAGATAATAATCCATTTTACTATCTTTGGAGATCCTCATTTCTTCTTTGACTACAGTAGTTCCTCTCTCAGAAGATTTCATCCTCACACTTTTAAATGAGCATTTGTGACATGTTAAACTATATAAGCTCCAGAGTTGAACCCTGTAGTGTGTAATTCTCAGTGAAAAAACAGAGTCCCTACCTGCAGGGAGCTTGTGGGCCAACTTCATAGAGATCTCCTCCAGTACATTGGACATCAACCTGTATGCTGGTACCTTTGGACAGGACACTTCAATCAAAATTACAGTCCCCTTGCCACTCAGACCATGTTTTATCTTAGACAAAGGGATTTCAAGAACTCATACATGTTGCTGAAATTCTCAGACTGTATAACAGCATATGTCTGGTAAAGGACAGAGTTAGGTAAAGGACTCTCTGAAAGGTCAGATGAGGGAACACCCAGTGACAATTCTGGGGTTTATGTGTTCTAGTAATGAATGTAATGCTATCACTGTGCATAAAGATAAAAAATAAAAATTGGTTTACTTGTAACCAAAGATCAACTAAAATCCAGTCAACTCCCAGTGACATCTATTGTGGAATGAATTTTGTTCCTCAGAAAGATATGTTCGAGTCTTAGCTCCTAACACCTGTGAATATGAAATGACTTGGCAATAGGATCCTTGCAGATGTTCTCAGGTTAGTAGGTTATCGCACTAGATGAGGGCAAGCCCTAATCCAGTAACTGATGACCTTATAAGAACAGGGAAATTTGGACACACATACTATTCACAGGGAAAAGCAGGCAAAGATAGGAGTGATACTGCCACAAGTTAAGGAATGCAGAACTGACAGAAACCCAAACAGGTACAGAAGGATTCTATTTTATTGGCTTCAGAACCAGTATACGCTACATGCACCTTAATTTTAGACTTTTGGCCTCCAGAGCTATAAGACAATAAATCTCTGAGGATTTTCCTGATACTTTAAATTTTTATTGAAATTGAGACATAATAATTGTACAGAGTTTTGGAGTACAGGGTGATGTTTTAATGCATGGCAACATTGTGTAATGATTAGGTCAGGATAATTAGCATATCCATCACCTCAAACATTTATCACTTTTTTGTGATGATAGCATTCAATATACTCTTTTCTAGCAATTTCTATTGTTTTAAGTCACCCAGTTTGTGATAGGAAACTAATAGGACATGTAAACAAAAATACATAAGCTTCAAATAAAGCCTATTGGCATCAGAATCAAGCAGGATCTGAAAAATAAGATGAGAAGGAAAGTTAGAGTAGGCTGGAAGGGGCAGGATGCCCCTGGAATGAGAGGAGTGGGTGAAGAAACCAAGCAAGTGTGGTGACATTCACTTAAGGGTGAGGGAGTGGACTGAAGATGACATCCAGTGTCAGACTCATCATCAAGAAGCTAATTGTCCCTTTAGAGGTCATTTGGACATATCAAGAAAATCCTGTCACTATTGAAAGGCAACAAGTCACAAATTCGTCAGTTTGTCACCAACATCTAAGCAACACCATGTTGACTTTCCTGTCTCCACCTTGGCATTTTTCTTGACTCTTGATTTGGTTCTATCATTGTATATTAGACAACAGGCTATGTAATGGAAGGGTCTGTGTTTCTCTATAGTGTCTGTCCACCATTCCCAAGGTGCTAAGCCACCATTGATTAATGGCCATGTCACAAAAATGGCTACATGCTGAGCCAGAACAAGGAAGGCATTTCATTCCGTACGCAAAAACTTAAGGGAGGAAAGGGTCCCTCACAGTTTCTAACATCGATCTGGCTCCCATGTGGCCCTGTGAAATATGTGTCTATAATGGCAAAACTCCTCACTGGAAAGACCTTAAGCAACATCCCTGGGAGTTTTCCTAGCAGTAATTAGGGGGATGTATTACTGCTAATCCCCAACACACTGGGAGCCAGGTTAATTTTGAAAGATAAAATGAAAGTGCTGCCTTGCGGCAAAAGGCCATTTCTTGGCACCATTAAATCAAACACAGCCCTGTGTGGGGCAAGAGTATTAATTCTGAAGATGTCTGTACCCCCTGCTGACACGTCTTTAAGGAAGCTACTATAGAATCAGCCAAATGAAGTATCAATGTGCAAATACCATTTAGCAAGTACAGATAAGCTGGGCTAAATCATACTCAGAGCATTTATAAAAAGATTCAGATTTTAATATATTAGCAGCAGAACATGCTGTACAAGCAATAGGAAAATTGCAGTTGTCAACGTGTGAATTTAGTCTTAGGGTAAGTTCATCTAAGGAAGTAAAAACTCAATTTAGATTCTTTTTTCCTAGTTGACTCTTTCCTCCTCTGAATATCCACGTGTTTATTCTAGAATGGAGGAGGACATGACACTCGGCAAATGGATTTCATACCAAGAAATGGACCAGGGGAAAGGATGTGAAGTGCTCACCAAAATGGTTTGAAGTGGTTTTCCAAGAAGCGAAGCCACAAAAGACAGGTGAGGTGTCCTTGGTATGTGTGCACATACACCTGCATGTGCACACGTGCACTGAGGTGCATGTGTCTTCCGTTTTGCCATGCTGGGGATCAAACACACAGAGCTTCTCACGTGCTGCTCACACACTGGCACTGAGCTATACTCCTAGACCCACGTGTCTTTTGTTAATGACAAAGCATTCTAAGGAGGAATTTGAAAGGCATTTTTCTGGCCCAACTTTTCTATTGCGCTTCTCAGACAGTCTATGTCTATGTGCCCTTCTTGGCAAGTAGAGCTATAGGCTGCAGCTCCTGGGTTGAAAGCACACTGTCAGGAGAGGAAAATCCAGTTGCACAGGCTTCCTAAGCCTGGGCAGGTGAGAAAAGTGGCCCCCAAGTTTACCTGAGCGCTGGACACCTGGCGGCCACTTTTCTCACCTGCCCAGGCTTAGGAAGCCTATGCAACTGGGTTTTCCTCTCCTGACAGTGTGCTTTCAACCCAGGAGCTGCAGCCTGGATAGACACCAGAGGGCAACTCAACCCTATGGATTTGAAACTAAGCTGTGTTCTAGTCAGAGTTTGACAGGTCATTTTCTATCTCAAAGCAACAAATGGACTTTCATTTCAGAATACATCTGGTCTCTCAGACCATTCTATCAGAAGCAGCTATTTTCTTTAAATTGAAAGTCAAGGCAGTTTATTTTTTGCAAAACTGTGCTGTCAGTTCTGCTGCTGCCTGGAAACATTTCACTTGTTCTACACAATGGCAAAGCTGTCTTATCCTTAAATAGGAGTGGGATGGGGAGACCCTCCCTGCAGATGCCTGAGAGTGATATGTTTACATAAATATTTGTCTCAAAGGGTATGTCTATCAATTGTAAGATGGAATGTATTTAGAGAAAACTTATTCAAAAGAAAAGAGATGCCAAACTACTTGTCCAGTTAGGATTCTCGAACCCAAATAAATCTCTTCATATGACACATCTATATAAACTCCTTCAGGCATTTGATGTTTTCATGATGAAGAATAATTGTATGTTTAAATGCACGTGACTAATAATGATGTATATATTATGTGCCACTGAATGATGGAGACATGTTTTGAGAAATGGCAATTTAGTTGCTGTATGAACCTCACAGAACGTACTTACATGAACTAGAATGGCTACAATGTGGCCAGGTGATGTGATCAGGTGTATGCAATCTGTCATTGACCACAACATCCTTAAGCATCCCACAACTGTCTATATATAGAAAATAGATACTATATGTGAATACACGTCTGCAGTGTTAGGGTGAGACCGCTTCATTACATCACTGGCCCTGTTATCTTAGTGTTCAAGTATCACCGTTCGCTTTGTCAAAAATTCACTAATTAATTTTTTCTGCATTATGAAACAAAGAAGTCATTACCACTTCAAAAAGACATTATCACTTCCAACTAAAATTTGAACCATGATAACTATGTAATATTTCCCTAATTAAATTTTAGGGATATGATAGGCCATATCATTAAGGAAGGGACTCTGATACAACAATTTTACCTGTGATACTATTAAGATTCTGAAATGATTCACAGTGCCAAGGAAATAATTTGTAAGGTCACAACCTTTCACATTCATTTCTTTGTCTATTGATTGTCCTCTCTTTATATCAACAGTCCCCTCTTTATCAATTACAGAGAATCACATTTGATTTATTATTGGAGGGGAGCTACCTTCTTCTCTTCTGATACCTCACAGATGCTAATGACATACAAATTTCAACATATTTAGGGGAAAAAGGGGATACTAAACCATTTTCTTAGTTAGCAATTAAAGGAGACCACATGAAAGCCTACCCTAGAAACATTTATGACTACAAATCCCTCAACTATAAATTTTGGTAAAAATACATAATTAAAATTGGAGAAATGCACACGATGGTTTTCTATAAAACACTAACTTAGATATTAAGTGGTTATAAATTAGCCATTAGTAATTTATTCTTCCAAATACCTTAGCCTTTCCAATGATCATTTCATCTGTTTTCTATATAAAAAAAATCAAAGAAATTCAAGATATAGGAAAGACATGCTGGTGGAGGGTCTGAAACTGATTTGGTGGCTTTGGAGTTGACATAATCTTGGCCTGGTGCAGCTCATTTTGGAAAGCTGCCTCAAATTTCCCCTGGTTTTGAACTTTTTTTTTCCTTACCACTTTCATCTAGCAAGAAATCATCCTGGTAACGGAACTTCTCCGGTCCACATGCAATAAAAATGTCATCGTCACCAAAAAAGTCCTGAAGGCACATCACCTACAAGAGAAAAGCATGGCAGTCAGCGAGGGGTCGGCAGAACAGCAGTTACAACAATGCATCTCCCCAGTAGACATCTGCATAAAGCCACTTCCTGTCTAATGGAATCAACAGGGCAGCTTCTCCAGAGGAATTTCAAAGGAAGGGCTGAAGCATCTGTTACTAGTAAGAAACATGTTACGTTTCAGTTCTGCAGGAAGACAGGATAAGGCAAATAGAACCGGCAACTGTCACATTTATTACTTGACATATCAATAGGCTATGAGGTAAGAGCCCTTTGTTTCCATAATAGAGTGGATGCAGCAGAGTGGGAAGGGAGCTCCCCTTCCTCTTCTGAATGTAAAACTAACTCCTTGAAAGCAACAAGTTGGCATATGGTTGGAGCAACACGTATGTTTTTTAGTAATTGATGCCACCAAAGAAAAATATTTCTGTCAGAAAATATAATAATAATATTCTTTAGACCCATTCCACCTCTACTTGAACCCCTTATAAAAAGAACTTAACAATGAAGTTAATCCTGAGATTTATATCTGAAGACTAAAGTGACTGTATACCCACTACCCAAGTCATGCTAAACACGAAAATGCCCCCCTAACTTCTTGTTGTCAAGCAAAAGAAAAGTTTTAATGCAACCAACATTTTGATACTTTTTCTAGTATTCTCCATTAAGAATGGGACTTCGCAAGAAAATACAGTCAAAAATGAATAATCTTCCAGCATAATGCTGTCTCTGGAGAGGTTTATAATATTTTGTTCACAATATGCATAATAGCAACACTAGGAACACTGCCGATTTGTATCTATTTTCAAATTCCTTTCACCTCTTGAGAAAATCATAAGGTGGCCAATTAAAGGCACACATTCAGAGGTCTATGAAGTAGACTTTCAAGTAGCATTTTCTCCTGAATATTTGAGGACCCCTTCTGAAGCGTGAGATTCTGTTGGTCTGTGTTTACTATGAACATTTGTCTGCTGTTCATCTGGGTGTCTCTAGAGTTCTGTACCTTTGTTATCCTGGTCACACTACACCGACATATCATGTGCGCTATAGGACTTGGAATAGTAAGTTGGGAGAATGTAGCATTATTGGAGTCCCCAGATACAAGGGTGTGTGGGCTTCATAAAGTCTTTCCAAATGATCTCTCATTTCCAAATACTCACTTGCTGAAGCTTTAAAATGGCAATCTCTATACCAACTTGATAGTCAACATTAAGCATGAATAAGGTACACCCGTGGTTATCTGTGCTGATTCTATCTATGAGAGTTGGAAGACACAGGAGATTTAAGAGGGATGTTGTAATGACTGAAGAAGAGGGACCACAGTGAACCAGGACAAGTGTGGTGTCAGAAAATCTCATCTTCCACTTGCTTAAAAAGAGGCCCTTTGAATTCAGAACCTGTGCTCTACACCACTCCTCTTTCCTTCTTCCTTCAACCACCTCATTCATCTTTACCTTCATGACACCCCAGCTTTTTCTCTGAGCATTGGTGTCATTTATCCAACCTTTTAGGCCAATTTCATTTTACTTCCATAAGTCTTTATTGAGTGCATACTAGATGCAATATAGCACATAGTTTGACATACAAAAATGGAGTATGATATGATCTCTTCCTCAGGCAAAAATGTGAAAATGAAAACCCAAAGGAAGTCAGAATGGGCCTAAAAGGTGGAGCCTGTGTATGGGGTTGGTCAAAAGTTCAGGCTCTCAGGGTCAAACTCAAAATTACACCTAGTAAACAGGTTCCTTTATTGTTGAAATCTTTGAAAAACCTTTTAATTTGCTAGATGTTATAGCCACACTGCTAAAGAAGAATAAGAATAATCCAAGTATTCCCAAACTTTATATGATTCTTGTTAACTTGTTTCTCATTACTGCATGCATGGACCAGTTTACCACAGTTTCCCTTGGGGGCCTGTGCTTGGATAGGCTTATGGGTGAAAAGAACTCAGAAGCTGTGTCTAGTAGTATATCCTTGTAATCCCAGCACTCAGAGGCTGAGAGAGGAGAGTCAATAGTTCAAGACCAGCCTGGGCAACATAACAAGATCTTGTCTCAAAAAGAAAAACAAGAACTCAAGGAACACACAAAGGAAAGAACAGTTACCCATTTCCCAGGCAGCCATGTTTTCTCTCATGGTAAGTATTTACTTGCTAGTTTATTTACTTACTAAAGTGTTTATGATGCCTATTCTGTGCCAGGATCTATGCCAAATACTATGATGACAAGTCTCTGATAGATGAAAAATACGGTTTTCTAAAGTAAACAGTTCTTCCTTTCTGCATATTCCCACCACTTGCATTTTTTTGAACATTCAGGTTGACGATTTTTATAATTAATATTTCATCTATTGTTATGCCATGTTTAAACTTTTACTAATTGTGACAATAGCCTACATCTGAAAGAATTACTACATGTTTACTATGTTGCTCAAAGCCAACACCATTTTTCCGATTAGTGTTTACTGATTGGCCAGTCCTTTTTTTTGCGCTGTACTGCGGTGTTTAAACTCAGGGCTTCGTGCTTCCTAGGGAGGTGCTCTACCACTTGAGCCACTCCACCGGCCTCTGATGACCATTCTCCAAGCCTGAGAACTGAAGTCAACAAAACAGACAACAATCCATCTTGGACGGGTTAGGTATAATTCTGTTGGCAAATGGGAAATGAAACATGATGAGCTTTTGATGTTCTTTCCAACACCAGATTCCAAGAAAGGAACACAGGGATTGTTAAGGAAAAGTATCTGTCAGCACCCAGCACACACACACACACACACACACACACACACACACACGCACACACAAAAGACAGGGAAAGTCATTTTGGTGCTCAGCAACACATACTCATTTACATCTCAAGCTTCAGTAACTGAAATCAAAGAATTTGTGAACTATCAGGCACTCTGGGGTTTTCTGCTCTTCATTGATTTACCACTTTCCTGTGTTTTGAATACCTGATTTTATGTATCTCTAAAGTGTTCATCCTTTTTAAATTTGATGAACTCAAAACTCAGCATGGTTACCAGCTTAAAAAATAAGCTCCATTTTTTGTGACTCAAAAAAAACAAAAAAAAAACTCGTTGTACAGGTAAGATAGTGATGTGCTTGACCCTCTTAGCCATGAAAATCTTTTCTGCTCAGTATGGGGTATTCAGATGTTGGAAGCATTCTATTCACTATTATGATGCTTTTTTATTAGACAGATTGTAAAGTGTACATAATATGAAGTTTGAGAAAAGAGTCATGTCCAGCCTATGAAGCCTTCCTATATTCACCACCATCCTTCTGTCCAGGAAAGCTGGTATTGCTAGAGCCTACCTTCCACTTATCTCATTTTTTTTTCTTCCTGGTGTTTGACAAGCTTTTATTTCACAGTAATACTACGTTTTCCATGGTGTCTTTCTTTACAATCCCCTTATCTCATGATGGCCGTAAGTTGTGCCTCTGCAACATTTTTAAAACCAAACTTCTCCAACCCTTCCTCCTCCTTACTCCCATCTACCATGTTCTATCCAAATGCTCATTCCTCCTCTCTTTGAGGGACCTTGGTCTTTTTCCTCTCTGTCAGATTTTTCTCGATCCCACCCCATTTTTCTCTAATCAATCCTGTTTAATTCTGTCAGTCTACTCTTCCTTAGTAAGCTTTCAAAATCTCTCTCAATGGCTCAGAAACAATCATCAAGTTAAAGTTCTTTCTGAGCTTGGCAATCCAGATATCTCAAAATTTAGTTCTAGGCCAGAAGTGGTGGTGCACATCTATTTACTCCCTGCTACACAGGAGGCATAGGTAAGAGGATCATAGTCCAAGGCCTGTGAGGCAAAAAATGTAGACCCCATCTAAAAAATAACTAAAGTAGAAGGGTTTAAGTGCATGGCTTAAGTAGTGGGAGGTCCTGAGTTCAAACTCCAGTAATCCACCACCCCCCCAAAAAACCCCTCTGGTTCCAACCTACATTCATGCTTCCTTATTTCACTTTGGACGGAGTTGCCTGGTATGGTATGGATGGATGTGTAATTGTATGGGTGTAGTATGGTGGATGATGCTCCCTAAAACGTATTTTATGAACCATTGTTCCGAATTTATTCTTTCTTTACTTATTCTACACTACTTGTATGTGGAGTTTTTTAATGAATTCTTTTCCTACTATTTTGAATCTATTCCTACCTACTATTTGTGTATTTTAGATCCTTCCTATGGACTAAGGCTCATCTGAAGACTCGAGCCTTACCTTTTTTATACACTCCAATCCAAAGGAGCTCATCCCTGTTCTAAATCTCATAATAACATCTATGTAATAGTTGAGCATCTATTATTTGCAAGCCACCATGCTAGGCTTTGGGGGATACAACTGTCCTCACCTGACTCTCTTCTTTTGTAGTGCATGTCTATAAACTTTTGATCCCAACAAGGTTTTTGAGTGTGTGTGTGTGTGTTACTGGGTGAACCAAGGGCCTCATGAATGCTAGGCGAGTGCTCTTCCATAAGAGCCATGACACTAGCTCTTTTATTTATATTTTGCTTCTGAAATAGGATCTCACTACCTTTGCCTTGGTTGGGCTTGAACTTACAAACCTCTTACTTCCATCTCCCGAGTAGCTGGGATCACATGCATGCACCACCATGCATGGTTTTGCTCCCAACAATTCTTAACACATTGTGAGTCAGTAACTCAGCAGAGTGACAAGTATCACTTTCTAATGGTTTTGTCAAAGGTTTGAAGTGAGGTGCTCTGAACTCCGGACTGTTTTGCCACCAAGGCAGCCAACCTGAAATGAAACTTGTTTTTAAAGATCATAAATCCAGTCAGGGCAGAAGCGGTTTCTCCCGTTCAGTGCCATTCTTTGGACCTACTCTGATTTCTCCTCTAGGACATTCCCCAAGAGCACAGCTCTGTTGACAGAACTTAAGTTCTCGTTAACCTCGCTCTGCTGTTTTAGACATTTATGCCTCAATGTGTCACATCAATTGTTTTAAAGATTACATGAACAGATCAGATT